GAGAGAACCCACGCTGCACGGGGAGAACATGCTCAGGTGGTAGAGCGGGTTGTCCACTGATGGCAAGGTTGGCGGTTCGATCCCCGGTTCCCCCCCACATGCCGAAGTGTCCTTGGGCAAGACATTGAACCCCAAATGGCTCCCAATGGCAGATTAGCGCCTTGCATGGCAGCTCTGTCGCCATTGGTGTATGAATGTGTGTGTGAATGGGTGAATGAGAAACACATTGTAAAGCGCTTTGAGTGCCGCAAAGGTAGAAAAGCGCTATATAAGTTCAGACCATTTACCATTTACATGCAAACTCCACGCAGAAAGATCCCGTGTGTCCTCACCAGGACATGAACCAGCGACCTTCTTGCTGCAAGGCAATAGTGCTACTAACTGCGCCACCTTGCAGCCCTAAATATATACACATACATCTAAATATTTTGGGGGGATCTCTACAACCTCCCAGGGTGTCCCGACCCAAACTTTGGAGACCACTGTTCTAGTTTAACTTCACATTTTATCTTGGCATTTGTTCCTCCTGATGTATGTTAACAACAACGTAGGCGGTTCATTAAGTTCATTGCTGAAATGACCTCTTCCCTCTTCCAGTTCTGGCTTTTGCGGAGTTTGAACCTTGAACCGATGCAAGATAAAACCTGTTCTCGGCAAAGAGAAGCTTGAATCTGAAAAACCGAGTGCATCTAATTCGTTGCTCTCCAACAAACACAGACAAGTTATGTATAAACTTGACACCCTTTATCACGCCCTATTGCGTGGGATAATGATTAATTTTTGTTCTAGTGCCAGGGTGTAATCAGTGTCACAAGGGTTATCCTACTTTGTCCTGAAGTCTTACCTTCACCTCAAACAGTTTGCTCCAGACTGGGGTCACAAAGTAGAGGATACCATTCTTGGCTCCAGGAAGCTGCACATTATTGACGAGCAGGGCGACTAGGATGAAGTATGGAAATATAGCCGTGAAATACACAACCTGTAAGACAGGAACAGTGGAAAGCAGAAACTGATGAGTTGCAAATGGTAAAACTTTCTCTCTCCAGTTGTTGATTAAACACATACAATCTCCTCCCTGTTCATCAAAGTTACATATTTAGACATTTTTACTCAATGAAAGTAATCCAATTATGCCTCATAATGGGTTATATTTTACTCTACACTGTTTGGCTTCTTTAAAATATGTGGATCTACGAGGTTCTCACCGAACTCTTCCACCACTAGCAGCAGCTCAAGCACACCAGCTCACCTACAACTCTGCTCAAACACTCAAACACACTGGCAAGATGTAATGTTGGAGTATGTGTTCAAACTGGAAAGGATTGGAGAGGACTGGTCCCTTAGACTTCTTACGTATTAAACCTCTTAGGTTTGAACCCTTGTTTTCTAGACTCTCATTGGTACACTGCAGTTTTAAAGTGGAATTGCTCGGCCATGTGGTTGGCTGCTTAATTCGATCATGACATGATCAAGCATCTTAAAAAACGCATACAGTCATGCTGACAAGTTTTTAAAAACACGTATTTTACTGTGACACCACTGAGAATGATTTGTGTCGAGTAAATACCTCTCTGTAGATAATTCAGGAGTGAAAACTTATTCTTTTACCCGCACATTCAGGAAAAAAAAACAACTAAGCTGCCAGACTACAGACTCTGAACTGAACTCTTGTAAGCGCACTAAAATGAAAGTCCTTGCCTATAAACCTTGTCTTTATCTGATATTGCCAAATTATGAACTTTAACTGGACAGCAAGATGCAATTAGAGAATGACACAAGCACAACACATGATAATGTTCTGACCTTGCCCGTGGATTTGACTCCTTTAAATATGCATAAATAAACGATGACCCAGGCCAACAACAGATAGCCAAAGAGCTCCCAGCGAATGCCACCAGCATCTTCAATGCCACTGGTCTTCTCCAGAAGTCTGTGACTGGATACATGGAAAAGGAAGAGGCAATTATTGTATTCTTAATGAAAACTTGGTGTTGCTCTACATTACCAGTGATTAAATGAACAACAATCAAAGTTTACGCTAAGTTTTGATTTTGATTCACATGTTGCTAAACTCTCATTGGCCCCACACACTTAAAGAGAGAAAGAATACAGAAATCACTCAAGTGAAAGAATAAATTAACCCTATTCAGGACTTTCATGTATGTAGAAGGTCTATGTGCAAAATATTTGTTGGTATTCATTATAGACTTTTATACTCTGTTAAATACATTTTCTGATAAGTTGAAGTGTTTTTGATTCCAAATGCTTGTCCCCCCAAAAAATCTTCAAAAATAAAAAAAAACAATACCTGTCACCTAAACCAAATGGCCTGAGGTCCAAAAGACCCCAAAAGTCCTGAATAGGGTTAAGCTTTTTGATTAAGAAAAGTTTTCCGGACTTTTAACCCTTTGAACTCCAAAACTTGTCAGTGGGTTTGAAAGACATGTTTTCTTTTTTTTTTTTAAAGATGCCAAGATTGCCACAGTTATGAGAACAAATGAATAATTTTATTTTATTTTTTTAAAGGAAGAGTAGTGACATTTTTAGGTTCCAAATGGTCCTTGAAGAGTTTATCTGTGATGCATCAGCATGTCTTGTTTAAAAAGTCACCATATCCACCAATCATTAGCTTTGGCCAGATTCTGTAAAAACTGAAACAAATTCTGAACTCCTCAACAAACTGTAAAGTCATTATTGACTCAGCTGCAATCAGCAGACAAGTGACCAATATTCTGAACCTTTGAGAGATAAACTGCAGACTGAAGTGTAGATGGCAAGTATAGAAACAAATTACAATGTAAGCAGTAAAACATCAGTCTTTTCCCCCATTACTGGAAACACCTATGGGCACTTTTGGTTTTTTTATCTTTATAAACTATGTCATCTTTTTGTGATCTTACGTTGTATGGCATTATTACTGAGCCATATTACACAAAAGACATTTTTAGAGATGGTTGTGTGTTTCCATAGATGTGCAGGACTTTTTATTGCAGTGAATAATGAGGCTACAGTCAGTTCAAATACGACAGGAGCAAAGGACACCCAGAAACTGCTTGGGGTTCAGAGGGATAAGAAACTCACGGAATGATTTGAGTGACGACTGCTTGTGCAGTCATTGAAACAGCTAGAGCAGCATCGTACACAATGTAAACATCTAGATTTCTGCTACTGAAAATGCGAGAAAGTCTTCTCACTCGAAGAACTGCTGGCTGGCTGACTGCAGGTGGGTGGCGTTGCCGGGGAAACCACTGGAACAGTTTCCGACGTCATTCCAAGTGTTGTTGCAAGACGTCCAGGGGAGGGTCGCTTGGAACGAGTTGAATAAATAATAAAGTGCCCAGCTCATGAGCACATTGTGGTACGTGCAGAACATGAAGGAGATAACAACTGTGGCCAGACCGACACCTGCGGAGTGACACGTAGGGGTGGGGAGGGCAAAGTGAGAGGCGGCTCGGCAGAAGTCATGCCATCTGTGGGAAAGAAGGTGTGCACTATACTTCTTAAAAGTGTTCTAAAATATTTCTCATTGCATTACAGAGTGTCAATTATTTGGGCCCAGGATTACAATTACAGGTGCAGCCCATATCTCGGGGTAAAGGTAGACAGAGAAGAAGCAGTGTTGTGCGGTAATCTCTGCTCTGTGGAGGCCAAACTAGGCCATAGATAAGAGGAATTCCTGGGGCCAAGGATTAGAAATTCCACTGTCCTGTCTGGCTGATGAATATAACAGGCTCTTGGTCAGTAAGTAAAGGTGAGATCAAAGTCCTCCAACACATGTAAATTATTCAGTCTAGTAACACCTGCAGATCTTAGCTGCGTGTCGGCTTTCAGGTTGGGGTGTGTTTGTCTGTGAGTACCATGTGTTTCTATTTTTCCACCTGTCTCCTCCGAGGGGAACGCTGAGCAACGACTGGGCTAAGACGCCTGGTATCTACAACAGGTTGAGGTTCATTATGTGGCTCAGGGACACACGAGTAGGCAAGAAGAACTAAACCTGAAACCTTGCAAATGCATGGAGGTGACTAATGAAGTCTCCCAGGGAAGCCTTTTCACACCTTTTATTTTTTATTATATAACCTGTAAGTTGTGGAAAAACAGCACTGGTGCTTGTATTATCTAACAAAACAAAAGGTCTGCAGTTCTTTTTTCTTTGAGTCCAATAGTTTTACATGTTGAGATCAGTTGTTTGAACCAATAGCATCTAGGTAAACACACTTACTTGCGTTCTTGTAGGGAGTAATTTAAATAATATCTATTGTTGGTTTTACTTCAAGTTTTCTATCTTACAGCTGTTTCCCCCTGTTCCTAGCTAATTAGCTGCAGGCTCCAACTACCACTTAAGGGGCCAAGACATTCCACCCAAACTGGTGTGACCAGATAACTTTGGAAACTCGTCTCCATACCCTTTGTCCAATGTTAGAGGGGTCTGTTTCTCACTTTCTCACTCGTTCTGTAAATTTCCAAAACTGGCCCCGATTGGCCAGTGGTGTAGACATAAAGAAGTACGTTGGGGTTCATTTTCTTTCTCTGGCTCCCTCTCCATAGACTCATGTTAAAAAGTCCAACTTTAGAGCAAAAATAAACATGGTACAAAAAAAACTGTTCTGGTCTTTATAGCTATCTTCCAATTCATGACAACTGATGGAGGGTGAATTTTGTCTTCTGACTAACTCATTTAAATTGTATTAAGGCTTTAAGTTATGTTTTGTTCATCTTTATAGATTATTAAACAATTTGTTTCTCTTTTCTTGTGAACAACTGAGTGCATTGTCTCCATTTTTATCCCCATATTACGTCTCTCTTCTCTCTATACAACTGGCTTTTCGCTCTGCTTTTGATTGTGGCTACTGAGATGAGCCGTTAACTCTGCTGGTAGGACAGCAAACTATACAAACCCCTTCTTTTCAAGTATTGTTGTAAACTTCTCAACTATCTATGTCAAGAGTAGACGTATTACAAATAAAACGTTGGGCTATTACTTTTCCTGATGTCTCGCACCGTGCTATCTTTGCCATCGCTGTTATCTTTGATGCTCGAGAACGATAACCGCTGATGGAAACAATAGGAAACGGCTCTCTGCTGTTTTTCGGCAGTATATAAAAACATTTCTGCGGCTCATTGTGGAAAGGCTGGAATGCCATGCTCCACTGCATCCATGTCACTATCTGGTAAAATGGAAGGAGAGGCAGCTGAAAAACGGCTTTGTGTCACCATAATGACAAACCCAAAGGAAAGACTCCTCTGAGCTCCAGGATCAGCTAGAACCACTGTCCATGATCCACGGTAAGCGCTGCTTCCTTTGTTATTGCCTGTTTGCCACTTTCAATCTACACATCTGGCTTACATGGATGAGCGCTCCGCCGGTACACCAGGCACACACCAATTGGCGTCGCGATGCGTCATTTCAAACTAAATCGGTCTGCTGGACTCAACAAGGCAGACAAAGAAGTCGGCGCTTTCATCTTCTGTCAATTCTTTAGCATGTTTTTTTTCAGCCTGTCATGCCTCACCTGTCCTGTGGGTGTCCTCACTGGGTTTAATGAGACCATGGTGAAGGATTTAGTGAAGTAAAGTTCTATATTTACCTTCCGAGATTAAGTGTCACAGCAGGTTACTATGTAGAGATGCAAAACAAATTAGGCATGAGCTTATTTGTTGATTTGCTGTATTTGTGGGCAACTGAATCACAGGTACATCACAGTAAACCGCACTTGAGTCACACAGGGAAATCATTCAGAAGAACATACAGAAAAAAACTACCTTGTTTTGGCCCTTGTTTATCACAGATCATTAACCAGGAAGAAATGAGCGATAAATCAAGTGAAGGACCCAAACGTTTTGACCGGGTAGATAATCTCTGTCATTAAGGAGATAAGAAAACTATGGAGAAAAATCTTCAGTTAGAACAAGACAGAAAGCATTTTTCATTTCATACCCACAAGTGGTTGATCGTTGATGGCTGGGCTCTTGTTTGATTTGGACAGTGAGCTGCCAAGTGACCGTCAGTGCTCTCAGAGTCTGCACATTTCAGTTGGTTTTGGTTTACAGCTTATGTGTGTTAGTTTTTAGAAGCACTGTATAATTTAGAAACAATCCATTATACTGATGCATGATCTGCCTGAATTCGATTAATGAACCAATGCAGACTGTCAGAGCACATCTTCAGTCACTCATATTTGGCTTGATTATCATTCAGATATGCAAAATTTAGGAATATTAAGTTCTTGAAGTGTTCTAAAAGATTTGAGAATTTCATCCTTACAAATTTAAATGCATTCGGTACCAGACAGTAAATTAAAATCACATGCCACGGTCCAAAAAGACGCTGATTGTCGCAGTGATAGTAAATTTTGTAACTGAACAAGTTCTCATCCATCAACTTGTGAAAACAATTCATTTATCAAAGAAAAAGAAAAAATACATTTTAATATTCATTTGGCTGCGTAGCATTAAACACACAAGACTTAGAGGATGCTGGGATGCGTGTGCAGCATGTCAGCTGGTGCTGCTCAAGAGGAAATTGTTGGTTTTATTTCAATAATGCTCTAAGTTCCTGACTTTACTATGTAAATGGAATGGGCACTATTTGAATAAAACTGAATTAAACTTTAGCTTTTATCATTTAATTAGATTTGATGCATTTAGCTGGGAAAAAACATTTACATATTTTGTCATTCAGCCAAAATGAAATAGAAAATATCAGCATATCGCACAAAATCATGCATCCTTAATTTAATAAATTCACCCACGCCTGGGGAAATAATGAAAAATATTCAAAACGCCCCATCTCACAATGTAACCAAAAATCTTTAAAAGGTTTTCAAAAACAAACAAAATAAACCTAAAAGCCTCCAAATTGAGCTGAAAGCAGCATTTTGTAGATCTTAACCAACAGTTAAATAAGTAGCAGAGCATTTTTCTAACAGTGTTTGTGCAAGTTTGCTACAACCTTTATTAAAAATTGATCCTTACAAGCTGTTTTATTTGGATGATGCATGCAAACTGTGCCAAGTGGGTAAGATAACAGAGCAGAAGTAACGTTAATTAATATATAGACTCTGGTTAAATACAGAAGCAGGTGTAATCAATGCTTTGCAGGACACAGCTTTAAAGGATAGGTGACTACACTGAATGTCCCCTCAAGAGGACAGTTATGTCAGGTATGCCAGTCGTTATTCCAGTATGAATGTCACGAGTTGTTTGTTCCTTGTTCTGACTGCTGATTCATAGGAACAAAAACTGTTTTTCTTATGCTTTGTTTGCAATTCTGTCTGCCTACATGTTGGTTCCAAAGTTATTTTGAATTATAAACCACACTAAATAAACTTATTTCAAATCATGCATTTTCATTTTGTTTCAAATGTTAAATACATTAAAAACATATATCTCTGGGGAAATTATTCCAATTAGTTGATAGGACCACCCTGCGACACTGCAAATGTCCTGGTCAGATAAAGTCTACTCTGGGGCTCATCTTTTGCGTACTGTATTGATCAACTGGGGTCCCAAGGACTGATGGTAATAAGAAAATATTTATGATGGTAATTTTTTTTAACAATGGATTGTTGTTGCATCGTTTAGGTTGAAAAATACTAAAATAAATGACTAATTGCAGTTACCAATCTCAAAAATGCTCAGTTCCACACATATTCAGTTGCAGGAACCCTGTGATCTGAGTACACAAGAGTTTTATAAAAGGTAACACAGGATGCACCAGTTTAAATAACTGTATTCAAATGCATATTTTTGTAGGTCTAATACTGGCTAAGGATTAATTAATTGACCAATTAGTTCATGGATTCAGAAAGGATTACAACACTAATGCATATAATATACACATGAACTTTGTATGCATGCACAGTCACATGTTGTATGCAGACTTTATGTACATGCACCACTAGCAAATATATAGAAAACATGCTGTGAAAATGAAGGAAACTCCATTAGACAGTTATCTCGGTCACATTAGAGGAGAATCACTCACCTTTTAACAAGGGACAGATTTTGGCGAAAGCATGCACTGGCCCTAAACGAGTGTATTGGCCAATAGCAAACTCCATGAAGAGCAGAGGAATGCCGCACAGCAGCACCATTGTGAGATACGGGACCATGAAGGCACCTGAATGGACAGAAGATTGTTAAAGTGGGCAGCTTTAGGGATCACCTAGTTGATACTGATGACTTTATAACGGTGAATGGTATATTTCCTGTATAATGAGCTTGCCGTCTCCTCAGACGTCCTTTAATCAAACACAAACAAACCTTTACTCTCTAATAAAACACTCATATTTCAACCACTGTAAATATGTTGTTCATGAATGACTTGTATTTATAACTGCATGCTTGATGGCTTATCAGAGTACTTCACGTAAACTATGAAACCTATGTCTATTCAGTGAAAATGAAGACAAATAAGAGCCTGTTGAACAAAAACTACATGTGAAATTTTGCTGAGTCATTCTTACAACACTGTTAAATGGTGACTTTGAGGCAGAAGTTGTTACAAAAAGAGTCTGGATAACGATTGCTAGTCAGGATAAGCTGGTTCTTTTCAGTTTCTGAACTGCATTCTGAAGTATTTGTACTTTTTCACAGCAGGCATACAACTGGAACCAAGTCAGCCACAGACTCATATCTTAGTGTGTTTGTCAGATTTCATATCCAGCCTCAAGACAGACGAGTGCTGGATTCATCCTGTTCCATTTCATTATATGCTGTGAAAGTGTGAAACTTTGGATAATGTGCACTGTGGAAAAACGGGCTTTTTAACAGTTTTTGATCAATTTTTTTTAAAGAATTATTTACCATAGTTTTGCAGATTGTACCCATTTTGTTAAAATACAGATTAAAACTACTAAAAAAAACACAGAAATAACACTTACATCTAAAAGTTAACTGTAAATTTTTTTTTTAAGTATGCCAAAACTATCAAAAACATCCACATCACTTATCTGTTTTTACAGTTTTCTATGATATATTTTTTTTTTACTATATTCAAACAGCAGATTGGTCATTTCTAAAAAGCCCTAAAAATGGTTTTGATTTGTTATTTTACAGAATGATAGAGAAAGGTATTTATTTACATACTGACTGTCAAAAAAAACTTTTAAAAAAACACCCAAACTGACAGAAAAGAATTAGTTTTATTACAATATGTATTTAAATCCATGAAAAATATTACTATTGTGCAGATATTTAACATTATATTCAGCACTTTTTAAGGTTTATTTCAGTGTTCCATTGTAAACACATTTTCTCTGGCTCCCTTACTACAGGATCTATTCTTATTTTTTACAATGTGGATGACTTACAGAACTGATAGATGAATGTGGACAGCTTTGAGATCCTAAAATCTGGATCTCATTATTTGCATCCATTAACCTTTTAGTTCTAATTTTTAAATACGTGTTTTAGAGTTGTTACCCAACTCCACTGAAGAACTTTTCTTTACAGCCTCTGCAGCAGCTGCAGTAATGTTATCTTTAGTTGTGACTGTTGTTCTGGGAAAAGACATTTTTGTAGTTCATGTAGGTTCTCACTTTAAGGGTTGTGGATCACCTTTCACATAGCCACAAATAGAAGTCAGTGGTTTTTCATGAGCTTAAGACATCTTGGACTAGAGTTTTCTTTATGTTAGATATTTTTATTAGCTAGAAGAACAATGACAATACATCAGTCTTACCTGATGCTTTAAATGTCTGTTACATGATTTCTCCTGTCCCGCCCTCCAGTAGCCACACACACAGCTACAGCATTGATATTATCTGGTATAATCGTGCTGCAGGTTTTATTTCCAGGTGAGATTTTTACACAACCGTACCTCCACCGCTGCGGTAGCACAAGTAGGGGAACCTCCACACGTTGCCCAGTCCCACGGCGTAGCCCACGGACGCCAGGATGAACTCGAGCCGCCCACTCCATGTGGGTCTCTGCGCCTCTGCATCCGCAGCCCCCTCGGCGATGCCACTGAGGTCTGAAGGCTTCAGGTCTCCGTCTCTCTCATCACAGAGCGCCTTGGAGTTTTCGGCCCCGACCTCCATTACAGCTGAGCAGGGATGAGAGTGAACTGGTGGGTTTTGTTATCACACAGTCCACCGCAGCCAGTCATACATCCACAAATCACCAATCCGGTTCAATTCGACTAAACCAGTTGTATCAGCACAGCTGAATGAAAGCGATCCTTTATGATGATCCAGACAGAAGCACAGTGAACTTCTTGAACGTCCAGGTGCTAAATAATGAACAGTTGAAGTGAGGAGGCTAATAAGCGCCAGTAGAGGATCCAGGAGCGCCTCACACAGTCACCGGCTCACACATGCACAGCTCCATTCACAGACTCACGCCTGTGTAATATGACACGCTGTGAACCTCCTCTTCCATCCTCGCTGCTCCGAGCACGACTCGGCAAACACCGTTACTTTCCGCCATTGGCTGTGCGCGCTCCCGACAGGCAGACAGACTTGATCACAACACCGGCGGTCACTGCTGTGGGGGTGCGCGGCCCCGCGACGGGCACCAACTTCTCAGCAGGCAGAACTCAACAGAACACCAGCTGCTGCCAAGAGAGCAGGAGTGTTGTAGTGTTCCTCCTCCATCACAGCACCCTGCTGTCAGTGGGTGAAACTTTATCTTTGAAGTTGTACCATAGAAGTATCAAATTATGCCCGTGTTTAAAAAATACAATTATTATAATTATTACTTTATTTATATAGCACTTTTTAAAAACATATGGCTTTACAAAAGATTAAGAACAGACTGTATAAAATAAAAATATTTTTATGGCTTGGACAGAAATCGTCAAGGGTACCAAGAAGGCAACATAACAGCATAAAAACAAGATTAAATTAAATAAAAGGACTGATGCAAAAACGCAAAAACCCTGTCAATAACACTAAATATAAGTAAAATGGATAAAGCACTAAAACCTAAATAATCAAGTCATCATAATTCATATGGCACATTTAACACAATAGCAGTTGAACCAAAATGCTTTCCAGCAGAGAAATAAGATTGAAGTTCTGAAGTTACGTAATGTGTTTAAACATTCAGACCATTAAGTGTTGTTAATAATGCATATTTCCCTAAGTAACGTTTAAAAAAATAAGATAAAGACCCTTCAGCGTTATATAAATAACAGATATACCAGACTACCAAAGTGATTCAAAGTTGAAAAATAAGACTGACATTCTGAATTCAAAAAAAAAAAAACTAAAACATTTTAGGACCCTACAATATTGCTAATTATGCTACATTATCTGACTAATATTAATGTTAAGCCTTTACTATATTATAATGAGACTTTACCTGATTTATTTAAATATTCAACATAGAAACCTACAATTCTATGTAAATGTATCTTTCCAAGTTAAATATTAAGCCTAGGACCCTACAGTATTATTAGCAAATGTACTTGACTGAATTTCTACTATTTTAAACAGGAATGACCGAACAAGACCACTGGCTTATTATCAACAATGTTTGTCTGATCTGCATTCTGTCTGAGACGCTTGCTAGACAACACAAAGTGTGTTCTTGAAATACATTTCATTGGTAATGAGATCAAAAGGCAATTCAACCAAAGCTGTGGTGTGTTGAAAGACTAGCGACAGTGTGAACGCACTAAAAACATCCATCCATCATCTATACACCGCTTAATCCTCACTAGGGTCACAGGGGGCTGGAGCCTATCCCAGCTGACTCAGGGTGAAGGCAGGGGACACCCTGGACAGGTCACCAGTCTATCACAGGGCTACACTTAGAGACAGACAACCAAGCACACTCACATTCACACCTACAGACAATTTAGAATCACCAATTAACCTCAACATGTTTTTGGACTGTGTGGGAGGAAGCCGGAGAACCCGGAGAGAACCCACGCTGCACGCCGAGAACATGCAAACTCCACACAGCAAGATCCTGGGTGTCCTCACCGAGACGCGAACCAGTGACCTTCTAGCTGCAAGGCAACCACCGAGCCACCTTGCAGCCCTCTCACTAAAAACAAGAACCAGCAAAAACATTGAGGCAAGTTGGGTTGAAAGCAAAGCTGAGGTAACTCTTGAAAAAAGGAAACTGCGTGTTACTGAGAAGAAGTGGCTTAACACTGGTATTGTGTCAGACATATGCAGGGTCATGAGTCATGCAGGCCGTATTTTTAAATGAATACACTATAATAACAAATGCTTTTCAGTATTATATGTGTCATCGTTTGTCCGAAAAAGAGACCACCTGCGCTTGATGAAAAGGCTTTCTCACAGACTCCTTGCAAAGACAAAAGGAACAAAGCAAAAACAATTATTCGTGAGCTTAATGGGTCACAGTAAACAGACTAATCGCTTTATTTTTTTCTTATCTCAGTTCGCCTTCATTATTCTTCTATGCCTGTAGAATAGGGCAGTTGGTAGCACTGTTGCCTCGCAGCAAGAAGGTCGCTGGTTCATGTCCCGGTGAGGACACCCGGGATCTTTCTGAGTGGAGTTTGTATGTTCTCCCTGTGCAGCGTGGGTTCTCACTGGGTTCTCCTGCTTCCTCCCACACAGTCCAAAAACATGTTGAGGTCAGTTGGTGATTCTAAATTGTACGTAGGTGTGAATGTGAGTGTGCTTGGTTGTGTGTCTCTAAGTGTAGCCCTGTGATAGACTGGTGACCTGTCCAGGGTGTCCCCTGCTTTCGTCCTAAGTCAGCTGGGATAGACTCCAGCCCCCCGTGACCCCAGTGAGGATTAAGCTTTTCACTAAAATACAACTTCAAGAAGTATTCATAACCCTTCAGATTATTGGCAGTTTAGGGGAAACTGCAAACTTCCATACCATTCTGAATGGCCCTACAATTTAAACCATGTTCTGGAGCATTAAAATACAGTACACATTTAGAACAACAGAGGATGTAGCTCTGTAGTCAGTTACAAGTCATTTGCAAGTCATGGCTGAAAGCAAAGAGCTCTGTTTGTTTCACTGACACTGAGATTCACATTGTAGCTGCTCATGTGACGGAGAAAGGCTGTAAAGCCATGTCTAAGTGTTTTCAAGTGTCAGTGGCCACAGAGCAAAGCATCATCAAAAAGTATAAGGAGTTCCTCGCTGTGAAAGCCAAAGGTCATGGTGGAGAGTCGAAAGTGAGCCCTGTACTGGCCAGAGTGATAGTGCCAGAGGCCAAAAAGAATACAAGGATCAACACAGAGTTCATCTCAAATTTCGTTGTGCTTCTCGTACAATGACAATAAAAAGATTCTGATTCTGATTAATCTGAACAGTTCTGTTCTCAATCAGACACTGAACAAAGCTGGTCTGCATGGATGCCAACCAACAAGGACCACACTTTCCAAGGCACGTGAGCTAGCTAGTATTTGCAAAAGCTCACCTGGACAAAGAAGAAAGCTTTTAGTCATCAGTTCTGTGGTCATATGAGGTCGAAATGAATTTGTTAGAAGAAAAAGAAAGGAAACGCATTCAACCCCTGGAACACTGCCCCAACAGTCAAGCACGGTGGTGGGACTGCAATGCTGTGGGGGTGTTTTTCAGGCAGCAGAAGGAAATTTTGATCAAAGTGAACATTGATTCTGGAGAAAAATGTCAGCTGTCTGCAGAGAAACTTGGCTTTGGCTGCATTGAACCTTCCAACAAGACAATGATCCAAAACATACAGCCAAAGTGGCCAAGAAAGGGTAAACAGAAAACAATATCAGTATTCTGGAGCAGCTCAGCCAGAATCCAGACCTGAATCCCATCGAAAATATAGGGAGTTAACAGTAGACCAGAACAATGGCAAGGGAGGCTTCCAACCTCAAAGACCTGGAGATTGTCACAAATGAGGCCTTAAATCTCAGTGGAGAATTNATAAATATAGGGAGTTAACAGTAGACCAGAACAATGGCAAGGGAGGCTTCCAACCTCAGCGACCTGGAGATTGTCACAAATGAGGCCTTAAATCTCAGTGGAGAATTGCAGAAAATATTTTAGCTGTTATAAGAACTGTTTGATTGATTTCTGATTTCTGAGAAAGAGCAGGAATTATTTTGTACATGGCATTTTTAGTTTAAAAAAGAAGAAGAAAAAAAAAGAAATCCTCCATCCATCCATTTTCTGTTGCGTATCCAGGGCCAGGTTGTCACAGCAGCAGGTTAAGCAGGTCATTCCAGGCAGCCATCTACCCAAGACGCAAGAGTTTGTCTAATCTTGGAAAGCCAAACAGGGTCAGGCCTGATTAGTACTTTGATGGAAGACCACCCAGGAGTATCCAAAGAATTGCCATCTTATTGTGATGAGGGGTTTGTGTTTCTTCTTTGATCCTAGAAGCCATGTTGAAATATCATCAAAATGATCAAAATGCAAGATGATTAACTGAGGAGGATGCAGCAGATGCTTCAGAAGATGCAGCAGCAGATGCACGAGCAGGACCTGTGACCGCTGCTGCTATACCTGTCTTTACCTTCATGTCTTTTATTTATAATTGGGCAGGAATCCTTCACTGAGGCCAACCTCACATGGGACGACTGAAAAAATGTCGATATTGTGCCCAATTCTCCAAACACTGATCAGAAAGAAACAGGGTCATTCCGTGTACTGACGACCTGTCCAGAGTGTCCCCTGCTTTCACCCTAAGTCAGCTGGAATAGACTCCAGCCCCCTAGTGAGGATTAAGTGGTGTATAGACAATGGATGGACGGACATCCCGGTTGGGGTCAGACTGGGATATGTGGTCAGCCATTATAAGGTAATGGAGCAAGTTGGGTTAACCATGGCAGGGGTTCAAACCTCCAATCTTTCTGACCAGTCGCCCAAAGTCTCTGGGATGAGTTAGGTACATCTCAAAGAACCTACATGGGGCAGTCATCCCTCCCCAAAAACATTCCTATTACTTCCCATACAGCCTGCTATTGGCATCAACACCTTATCACACTTTAACTTGTTCTATGGCACTT